AATAGGCGGCGGATGCCACATTTAGTGCTGGAAGCACCCGTTTAAGATATAGATTAAAATCTTATTAGCTAAAGATATGGATTTTTTTTTTTTTTTTTTTTTTTTGGATTTTTTTTTTTTTTTTTTTTTTTTTTTTTTTTTTTTTTTTGTTTCGAGTCTCACAAATCTAGCAAGTTCATAATTTTACTTAAAAATGATTTGGGAAATCTTACAGAAAAACTGCAAGAGTTTCCCTTAAAAATTGGAATTAACTAAAACACGTGAAACAAGTAAACACTTCCAAATTAACCTCAACAATTCATCAACTCTAATATGATCAATCTCAAACTCAAACTATAATTTACATACATAATCCTTAAATCGTCATCATCATCACCATCCTCTAATGATTATATATTATCATAAATACTCTTAAATACAAATTTCATAATCCATTCATGCTTAAATAATTTAAATTTCAATTTTACAACATAAAGATGCTTAGCTTCTTAATTATATGCCTCGTATAAGCTTCTAATATAAATTCTTATACATAAGTCCCAATTAATTACATACTCTAAATAATTTATACATGCCATAATTATCAAATAAATAAACAACATAATCTAAACTGCCAAAATGAATATCCTTTGCGCTAATGATGTTGATTCTCTGGTATTCTACCAGCATCCTCGGTCAAGAACCTACGTATGATAAAAATCGACGCGCTGAGTATAAAATTCAATGGTGCTCAATAATCTCAACATCCAATGTTACAATGGCAACATATAATCATACTCATAATCATACAATCATTTAAAGTACTAATACTCATAATCATACAATCATTTAAAGTACTAATCATGCATAAACATTTATGTTACAAGTAGTCATATTGAACATGCAATTTCAAGTAATCTGATAATCAATTCATATGTCCTCACTTAATAGTATAATTACATATTTAAAAGCTAAAAGCACATAATCTCACTTAAGAAGCATATGACACATGAACATGTAATTTCAATCATAAGTATCATAAACATAAATTATAACTTACAAATACATATATTATATAATATTATATTATTAATGCACAGTGAATAATAAATTGAATTGGGCGTTTTAATCTACATGCAAGTTTTGATTTTGAGCATTTTGATTTATTAGCTTTGACTTAGTAGATTTTTGCTTTTTTTGTATTCAATTCAAGGCAATGGAAACCAAGAGTGTGAATTTCTTAAAAAGGTTGATCCAATCATGTGCAATAGAGCAAAGACTATCATCCGTAGGCTTATAAAGAAGCTCAACAATTTGGAAGAGGATTGCAAAGGAAGTAAAAAGAGAGATAATTCTATGAATGTTGGCTGTCGGCAATTGTGTCGATCATAATTATCATTTTCTATTATTTTAGAATGGGCAAGGGAAAGAGATCCACGATTTCTTCGAATGTTGAAGTCGTTGGATCAATGTTTGGTTCCAATTGAAATGGTTTAATTAGGGATGAAAGCGAAATGGATACCCGTGAATTTTAAACTATCCATATTCGTTCTAAACCTGTTTAAATACCCAGTTAAATATCCATATTTAAATCCATTAAATTTTGACTACTATAGTAGTCCAGAACCCGTTTAAAATGCCTCTTAAATGGATAGGACACCCGCGAATCTTAAATTATCCAAATTTAAACTTATTTATAAAATATTTTTACTAATAATAGATAGGGTATTCACAGGTATCCATTACCCAACCCCCATTTAATATAGCGAGTATTTAAAGATCTATATATGTACCCTACCCGTATTCATTATGGGTAATAATTTCACTATTCATACTCGTCCCAAACTTATTTATAACTAGTTATATCCTATTTAAACGGATTGAATATCTTAAAATATCCATACCACCTCCATCGCTAGGTTCAATAAATGCTCTTCAATCAAAATGCCCTTTAGGATTTATAACTTTCTATCATCTAATGACTCTAAAAGTAACAAAGTTTGTCTTATCTTTTTTCAATGAACTTTGAGAACTTAGATTTGCAGAGTTTGTGATTGCACATTGATTAATAAGAATACTTAAAGTTGATGAGTATAGATAGAGAAAGAACCGTTGAGTATAGATAGAGAAAGAACTGTTGAGTACTAATAAATAGATATAGCGGATTATACGTGTCATCATGTTCGTATCATCTGTTTAATTTTCATATTGTGTTCGTATTAAGAAATTTAACACGATTATTAAACGGGTCATGTTTGTGCTGACCATATTTGCGTCGCATGTTAGGTGAATCTACGGTGAACCCGACACGCCAACCTATTTTGGCACCCTTAAAATTAGATTTCAATGCTTTAAAAAAAACTAAATAATATGATCTTATGTTATTGAATGTTGCTTTGAGTCATGAAAAGCTTAAATATAGATAACTCGATGTAAAGAAGAAAAAAAATCAAAATTTTGAAAGTGAAATATATCTCGATGTAAAGAAGAAAAAATCAAATTTTGAAAGTTGAAATATATATATTATATATATATATATATTATATATATTATATATTATATATATATATAATATATATATTATATATAACCGTATGAAATAATAATAACGTATGAAATAATATTTTTTTATGGATGTTTTTATATTTTTGGCATTTTAAAATTAAAATAATAATCTATTTTTTGAAACAATTAACATTGTAAATAATCATTAAAGTTCAATTAGAATAATATATTAAAATAATAATATTACCTTTAAAAAATAACAATATTAAATAATATAATAATATACTTTTTTAATCAATTAAAAAAATATTTAAAAATCATAATTTATCAATTATTAAAAACTCCAGCTATTTAATAAACTCAAACTATTATGAACTAGTTGAAGGCCTGCGCTTTGTGCTGGTCGATTGCTTTATTATTGTATATTATATTTTATAAATTTTGTTTAATATATTATTAAAGAAAAAAATTTTAATAAATAAAAAAATATTTAATAAAGAAACTCATTCTTTTTTTATTTAATAATATTTAATACAAACATAAAGAAAAAAAATTTTCTTTCTTTTTTTATATATATTTCCCAAAAGAATTAAATATTTAATAAATAAAATAATTAAAATAAAATTATAAAAAATTTTCAAATATCTCATTATATATTATATATTAATTATATGGAAAATAAATTTAATAAAAATAAAATTTAATTTTGGATTACTTAATTATTTATATTATTTATTTAAAAAAATAATTTTTTTATTTAAAAAATAATTTTTTTATTCATTAGGAGGCTTGATGGGCTGAAATAACACTGTGGGCTATATAATAATTAAATTGGTAAAAACATAGGACTTCTCACTCCTCACATAAGTGAAAAGATAATCAGACCGCACATGATTGGCTGAAAAAAGAATTTTTATAAATTTTATCCAATCAATTAATAAATCATAATTTTTTAATTGGTCGTCATTAAAGGTATTTTAGGACATTTTAAATTTCATTAAGAGTAATATAGGAAATCTCATTATTCTCCCATATTCCCACTTTTATATATATTATAGATATAAATATATAGATATAACAATAGAATATTATGTATATTTTTAAAATCAAAATTTTCAATTGTTCGTCATTCCACATGCATATATATTTATTTTATTTAAAAATAAATTTTAAAAACTAAGAATTTAAAAATTTTGAAAGGCTTAATTATATATATTCTATTTGAAATTTATTTTATTTTTAAAAAATATATCCAATCAAAATTTATTACAAACATAAAAACAAAAGGATTATTATTATAAAAAAATATTTTTTTATCTCTCTCCTAAATAAAATATTTTAAACTTATTAATAAAAGTAGAATAAAATATTTTAAAAAATAAATTGAAAAAAATAAAATTATAAAAAATTTTGAAATGGCCTCATTATTATAATATTATTGTTTAAAAAATTTTAAAAATTTAAAATTTAAAAATTTTTGAAATGTTTAATTATTATATATTTATTTATTTAAAAAAATTAATTTCTAATAAATTATATCCAATCAATTAATAAAAATATAATTTTTTAAATTAGTCATGATTTAAGGTTATTTTAAGATATTCAAATTTTATTTGAAAGTGCCTATTTAAACACTATAATTTATTAAAATTATATGGAATTAAATATTTCGATTTACAAAAAATTTATTCTATTAAATACTTAAACTTCCAAAATATATCAATTAAACATTCAATTAGGATAAATTAGTAAAATATAAAAAATTTATTTCTTAAAAATATATACTAATCTATATTAAGTGAATATTTCTGCTACATAAATTTACCAAAAAATGCCCAAAAAAAAAAACAAAAAAAAAAAAAAAAAAAAATTATTATTCATAACAATTAGCAATAATTTCATAACTTCTGTAAGACATAATAAATCATTTTTGCAAAATTCACGGAGAGCCACAAATTCAATTTCTATTAAAGTATCAAGAATTATATTTATAATAGATTTAGCGTTTTTATTCTATATTAATTTTGTAATTATAGTGATAAAAAAAAAAAAAAAAAAAAAAAAGTTATTATTCATATACAATTAGCAAAATTCATAACTTCGTAGACATAATAAGTCATTTGCAAAATTCAGAGAGCCACAAATTCATTTCTATAAAGTATAAGAATATATTTATAGATTTAGCCGTTTTTATTCCTATATAATTTTGTAATATAGTGATCAGATTTGGAGGGTCAGCAACCAACAAACCTCTCCAGATAAAAATTAGAATCCTCTTATTAATTAATAATTGCAATATTTAAAGATAAAACAGTAATGACAAAAACTGAAGAAGGGCACATACATAAAAGATAAAAGAAAAAGAAAAACTAAAATGGAAATGGATAATTCATTATTTGAAATATGAATAGTAGCAGTAGCAGTAGCAGTCTCAACTGCTTTTTATATAATATTTAGATAACGTAAATTTGAATAAATCAATTGCATGTAACTTGATAAATCGCAACACGCAATACTTTAAAACCGAATGAATCATAAATAATAATAATAATAATAATATAAAAGAAATCTATACAAAAGGCGTCTTTCTTTCCACTGATTTGAAAACCTGAAATGCAAAATCTACAATTAAACAAAATTTTCACCCAAAATGGTGATGCAGGTCAAAATTTTCATCCATCGCATGAGAACTTGCTCTCGACTTCCTCTATGGACAGGTGTTAGGCATCATAGCGACTGCATGAAGACATGTAATGTAAATAACATTTTGTTTCTTTGTTCTGTCTCATGTGGTTTTAAAGCTCTCTGACCAAACCTTGTAATATTGTATTTGCTGCTTCGATATGCATAAAACAGAAAAGGAGATCAGAAGAAAATCCAACAGGTAGGCATTTATATGAGTCGGGTTGGAGATTATCCGCCAACTCCAACAGGTTTGTTAACTTGAAACATTCAACACCAAAACCAACCCAATGAAAGTTGAAACCATGGATGTCGGGGTCATTGGTTCAGGTAGGCTGAATATTAAATAACCATGTTCATCCCAACTATACTGTTTTTTTTTTTTTCTAAATGAATTCACATAGAAGGGGAATTTATCGTCATGATTCAATCAAAATTAATAATATTTGATTTATGTAAAATCAAATATTTTTTTCTTTTTGGGTGTTACTGTTATCAAAACTGCATATTGAATTGATTTGGGTTTTCAATTATCGAAAACAACCCCAAATCAACATTGTCGGTTTTAAAATAATTTCCTATCCAAAACCAAACTGAATACTTAAGAAACCATTAAAATCTGTTTAGTTTTTTGGTTTGATCAAGTTGGCCAGGTTGTCAGCTTTATACCTCCAGGCAACTAGAACAATCTTGGTTATGCCGTCAAATTATATCGTGTGAATTAGAGTGGACCATACCTTGTGCGAGACAGATGGAGAAATTTTATTTAGTGCTTGCTCAAAATGAGTCGCCTTGATTGTGCATGGGCTCTCATCTGAGCAGCTATTTCTTTTTGCCTCAACTAGAGCAGCCATCGCAGCTTCATCCATCTGTTTGAAATAAAATATCAACAAACTCAGCCACTAAAAGAGATAAATGCATATCAAAATAATATAACCTTGAATGTCTATCATAAATGTATATAAACTTAGAAAAATCCGATGAAGCAAGGTGCGTCCCACAAAATTTTTCATGGGATCAGTCCAGTTCTATTCCCACATATAAGAAAGAACTTGGAAAGGAAATAGACAAACCAGCTTCTTAAGATCAGCCCCGCTTAAATTTTCACAAGCTTCCATCAGACCAATGGCGCTCAAATCCACACTGGGATCAATAGGTTTTCCCTTTGAAAGGGCCTTCAAAATCAATCCTCGATCGTCTGAACTGGGGAGCGGGACATAAAGAAGTTTTCCAAACCTACCAGGTCGTAAGACAGCAGGGTCCATCACCTCAGGTCTGCAAGCAGAAATAATCAGCTCCATTGATTGAGAGAGAGAGAAATGATGTACTGAGTTCTACCTGTTAGTGGCACCAATGATAAAAACACCTGGCCGCTGATCTGCACCATCTAACTCTATAAGTAACTGCAATTTCAAGGATAAATTTATTCCATTAGTGCCGGAAAAATAGTTGCCAACATTTTAATGCAAGAATGAAAAGCAAGCTTTGTGTGTGCAACATTATTGTTGGTCATTAACCTGATTTAACAGCCGCTCAACGACCCAGCCCCCTTCTTTCCCGCGCTTTGTTGTCAAAGCATCCACCTATACAAAACAGCAATATATCATATTGCAAAGCAAATTGGATTTAAGGTCCAAGATTACTGCTAGTTATACAAGATATCTAGAACCAATCAGATGAAAACCTGACCAGTAGCACCTTACAATTTATAGATCTCCTTTTCATTGCCTATCAATGAAATTCATGAGTGCATAGAGAAATGGAAGATTCCTATCATAAACAAACATATTGTGGAATAGAATATATAACTCAACAAGAAAAATCAAGTTTCATTTGGTTGGTTTAAAAATTTACATGAGTTTCTGTTATTAAAAAGCATAAATAAGTTCTATCGTTAATCTCCATCAACGTCAGTTTGCATTTCCATAAAGTATCAATATCAATTTACATAGTTTTTCAGATGAAGGCAGACTTCATTCTCCATATAAATAGGAGCAATACATAACAATTATGAGGTTGCAATTAATACATACATATGTTTAAAATCATGAAGACGTCACTAGCATTATACATTCTACAATCAAATATCAGCTACCAGTTAACATATAGTTCATGTTCACTTCTATTTTGGAAACAAAAAAGATGTGTTCTTCAAATTCTTTTTAGCATAAAACTAATTAGAGAAGTTCTTTTTAATATGTGAATAATGAAAGAAGCATCTGTTACTATTTTGCATTTCTATAATGTAAAAGTATCAATATCAATTAAAAAAACTTTTCAACTTTAATCTTGTGGCACCTTGAACTTTGTGAATGACCTATCATACACTTGAACTCACAAATTTTGGTAACATTGCACACCTTTTCACACAAATAACAATAACTTTTGGATTTTTTGCTTTTATATACAAAATATTGATTTGATGTGTAATTAGCATAACTTCTAAAACAATAATTTTCACATTTTTCAACTATTTAATAGGTGTTTAATTGCTCTTATTTTGCAAGTTGAAGTGTTTAATAAAATAATTCTGCAAATAAGTGTAATTTTATAAGTTAAAAGTGTTTAATAGGTCAAAATAAAAGTTGAGGGTACCATAAGGTTAAAATAACGAAATTCAGAGGTGAATTTATATATTTGGCCCACATATTTTTCAGATGAATGCAGCAGGCATCATTCTCCATATAAGTCAGTAACATGTGCACCTGCATGCATACACATAATTATGATGTTGCAAGTAATATATACACATGTTTAAAATCATGAAGAGGTAACTAGTGGTATACATTCTACAATCACAATATCAGCTACAAGGTAAGATATATTTCATGTTCACTGGTACTCCGGACTCAAAAAAGATACATTCTTCAAATTCTTTTTAGCATAAAACTAATTAGAGAAGTCTTTTTAATGTCTGAATAATGAAAGAAGTATCAATTATTATTTTCACAGTTCTATAGGGCGAAAGGGCTGAAGAGGTCACAAACCCCACTCAAAGTTTTACAAATCATTTGTGATTTTATAATTGCTCTAGATATAAACAGTATAGATTTCTAAACCTAGCAATAACACATCCACAACTATTAGGTCATGCCTATAATGATTGTTAGAACCTACAAGCCAATAAAATTCTTAATTGAGATATCAAACTGAATCGTACTATCAATTGAGTTTGTTCATGATTAATTTAGAAAAGATAACAAGATCTGGCCCTCTACCAACATGCAGGTTTGAGCCTGGCAAGTTCGATCGCAGCTCGGCTCATTTACACCCCTACTAACATGAAGGTCAAAGGAGCAATTTTTAGCAAAATGCTACAACTACTAGGAAACAACCATGGTCATACAAAGACTACCATAAGTAAGAAGTATATTAAGAGTTTTGCAGAGAAGAATACATCAACAGTGGGAAGGATTTTGAATGGAGTTCAACCAAAAACATGCATAAATGCATCCAACTTGATGCGCTTGGATTTTAGGCTTTAGTTGCAACAATTGTGTCCCTACGCAAATATGTACTTGAAGATAGGGGTGTAAATAAATTGAGCCGGCTCGCAAGCTATTTGAGTTCGGCTCGAAAAAAGTTCAAAAAATTTCGGTTCGAATAAAGCTCGAGCTCGAGCCTGCTCAATTAGCAAACGAGCTGAGCTCGAGCCTAATGATTTTCAGCTCAAAAGGTTCGTTATCAAGCTTTTATATATGCATAAATATAATATTATTTTAGGCTTACTCAATACTCGAGACTTAAGTCAAGCTCGAACCGAGCTTGAGCCTAAAATTTCTAGGCTTATTGAGTTTCAAGCCGAGCTTAATTCTATCAAACCAAGCTTCGAGCTTGGCAGGTTCAAGCTCGGCTCGGCTCATTTACACCCCCTACTTGAAGATGATGCATTTCAAATAAATGCCAATTATATGCATATTTGATAAAACAATTTAGGAAATTCATTATCTGCAAAGATAAAAAGCAGGTCCTAACTTCGGAGTCAGAAAAAACTGTCCTAATCAACACCGCATTGATAAGTAATAAGCACAATTTTTTGTGAGCTTGACAAGAAGTAGGGGATGCAGAGTCAGGTATACTATACATAGTAAAAGTTAGATCTCACAACAAAATAGAGCAATTCATTATTCATAAGTGGAGAATAGTGAATGTACAAAATAGATTAGAAATTCTAACATCCAATGAAAAATTTCTTGAACACTGCAAAGAAGTAAAATGTCAAATAATTCCAATTATCTATTTTCACAGGCAGGTTTCCACTACAACAAATTCAATACATATCAGCAGGGGCGGTGCTAGGTTATATAAAGTGGGGTCAATTGACTCCACTCAACTTTTAAAAAATAGGGTTAAATTGGTAAAAAAAATTTAAAAAAAAAGTATATTAAATGAAAAAATTTAGATTTTTAAATCTAATTGACCCCACTAAAAATCAAATTAAATAAATGACTCCATTGAAAAAATTTTCTAGCTCCGCCAATGCTCAAAAAAGGGGCAGCGCTAGGTTATATAAAGTGGGGTCAATTCACCCCACTCAACTTTTAAAAAATATTTATCAAATAAGGTTAAATTGATAAAAAAAATTTTAAAAAATGTATATTAAATGAAAAATTTTAGATTTTTTAATCTAATTGACCCCAATAAAAATCAAATTAAATAAATGACCCCACTGAAAAAATTTTCTAGCTCCGCCGCTGCATATCAGGCAATAAACAGTAAATATAAAGAAGAGACATGAGCATGCACCTCATCAAAGAAAAGAACACATGGCGCACAGGTCCTTGCACGACCAAACAATGTCCGAACTGCCAGTTCACTTTCTCCAACATATTTATTCAGAAGTTCAGGACCCTAACCAGTCACAAAATTTATTATGAGACAGGTTTAGAACTCTCAAACTAAGTACCATGATGTGTAAAACTAGTGGAAAAGAAGCAACAAACAGCACTATACTAATAGCTCCGCCGCTGCATATCAGGCATTAAACAGTAATATAAGAAGAGACATGAGCATGCACCTCATCAAAAGAAAAAGACAACACATGGCGCACAGCGATCCTTGCTACGACCAAACAATGTCCGAAAACTGCCAGTTTCACATTGTGCTCCACATATTTATTCAGAAGTTCAAGGACCCCTAACGGTCACGCATAAAATTTATTTATGAGGACAGGTTTAGAACCTCAAACTAAACCATGATGGTGTTATAAAACTAGTGAAAAAGAAGCATACGGAAAAACAGCACCCTATACTATAAATAATAACAAGGAGAACAGTAATTAGAAAAAAAAAAAAAAAAAAATATAAGAAAGTCAACAGAAAGAAAATTTAAGGATTTTGCCTTGATGTGAATGAAATTAGCTCCATTAGCTCCAGCCTCATTAGCAACAGCCTTTGCAATCAGTGTTTTACCACATCCTGGAGGGCCATAAAGCAAAATTCCTGTCTCTAAATTCACTCCAAATTTCTGAAATGAAAAAGAAATCTAGGATTACAAACTCAATCACACAACCAGCCATTCATTAATAATTGCAACACCTTCAAGTTAAAGTCCAATGGAAGAAAATGAAAACCATTCGGCATTGATCCACAAAAGGGAAAGCATCTAAGACTGTATAAACAGATGTATAGACACCAAAATCTCAGAATGAAGTGAAACAGAAGCATACCAAAAGAACAATTCATGGTCAAGAAAGCATTTTCAAAGTGAAATGAAATAATTGAGAAGTAGAGAGTAGACAATTAATACCTGATAATCCTCAGGATATTTAACACGCCTAACTATGTGAAGGTCAAACTCATTCCTTATAGATTCAAGCCCGCCAACATCTTCCCATTTCACATTAGGAATGGTAGAGAATCCTTCTCTTCTTGAAGAGGGTTGAACCATCTTAGCTGCTTGCTGCAAGGTTTAAAAAAATTTGGGGGTGAAAGGAGGAACACTTCTACCATTTTGTCAATACCAAAATCTTTAGGATGAGAAAACAAAATATATAAAATTGCAAAAGCATCAAGCAGCAGTTAGGAAAGCATTACAGCAGCACAAATTAAGTGCATTAACTGGATATGTATATTAATTTTTTTTTTTTTTTCCTTTTCTGGTTGGTCGAATTGCAGCATTGGATGTCAAATTTGGCAGCACTCAAGGAACAGCTAAAACACTTCAAAGTATCCTGTTTGACATGACATGAGAATTGCAAATAGCTTCCAAAAATGAACATAGAATTTCACTTCCTAATTGATTGAGACAAATAAAGAAAAAGAAAATTGCAAAAGCCCCAACATCTAAATTGCTTCAGCATGACACAATAAAAGGTTGTTTAACGCTTCACTTCCTACAATCAGCCAAAAACCATTGCCCTTTGAGAAGAAGGAAAAGAACAACCAAAATTCTAGAAGGAAAAATTCTTTTTACAGTGGATGGATGAAACGTTGGACACAACACCAAAAGTATGAGAAATTTATGCAAGGGCTCTGCAGAAGCAAATTAAAATCTGGGTTCTATCATCATCTCAGTGTTTAACAAAGATTGAGAGGTGAAAAAAAAATGTACAGTTAAGTGTAAAAACTAAAAAGGTATTGTGAAATCTCTCCAACATTCCCCTAGCTTTTAACTTATGATATGCAAGATTAAACTTCATTACAAATTCAAAACAAAAGCATCCATAGTTCACTGCTCAACATTACCTCAAAGTCAGCCATTGTAATGGCAAGCTTTTCAATTTCCTCAGGCAACCAAGGTATTTTCCACCATTCTTCAGGACATTCCTTGTTTGGATATTCTCTGGTTAGCTCAGACTTTCTCTGGGCAAGGATTCTCCTCATGGCAAGATTACCAGCCTTGTCAACCAAAGCATGCAAGTCAGCTCCAACAAAACCTGGCGATAACCTAGCTTTATGTAAAACGACAAGAGAAACCTTCAAGAGTAACATTTTTAGTAGGACTGACAGAATTCAACCCTACATTCTCATCGTGCACGCCAACCTAAATCTCGACGGATCAAACTTCCAGGGCCGCCTTAATGCTAGGGTCAATGGCATTCAGGCCTATTGGTAGCTCCAAATTTTACCGACAGAATTTCAACCCTAGCATTCTCATCTGGCACGCCTAACCTAATCTCACGATCAAATCTTCCAGGCCGCCTTAATGCAGGGTCAATGGCATCAGGCCTATTGGTAGCTCCAATTACAAGAACATAGCCAGTTTTTTTGTCAGAACTTTCTAAGTCTGAATTTGCATCAGCTGGTTGTAAAAGTCTATGAAATTCATCCATGCATGTCATCAATTGTGTCACAATCCTTCGCTCCATCTCCCTCTGTAGATTTTCTCTCTTTGAAGCAATTGCATCAATCTCATCAATGAAAACAATTGATGGAGCAGTCCTGTATGCTTTGGAGAACAGGTCTCGGATATTTTCCTCGGATGCACCTGAAATTTCAAGCAATTGAAAATGAAGGACAAAAATTAGAGATAAAAACCAGAAAAGTTTTCACAGAAGGATCAAAACATGATAAAAGTAAAAATGAAAAATAATAATTCGATCTGCATTTGTCCTTCCTCTAATGCTACAACGCTGATGAAAAGCTAAATGGAAGGTTAAAGAGAAATACTTGCAAATCAATATCTCCAACAACTCAATATTCTAAGAAACGGTATGATAATCTTTGCAAACTACCAGGAATCAACTTTTTTCTGAATAATAATACAAAAAAAAGAATAAGTAAATTAATAAAAATTTAAACACATCATCAACCACAAATTATCAACGGTCATGGACAAGATAAAATGCAACATAAAGACAGAAATGAAGTGGGTTGAACAATTGCCGGCTCCAAAAAAATTAATGAATGGGAGCTGTACCCTTGCCTATGCCAAAACTTAATCAATAGAAAGCTTGATTTTCCACAAATCATAAATCATAATCCAACTTAAAAAAAATTGAGCTCAACTTGTTATAAAACAGAAAAAAATAAAATAAAAGTAACAAATAAAATTACAACAAAAATAACAATCAAGAGCGTAATATAATAAACAATTTCATACAGTAATAATTAGAGGGAAAGCATTTTTCAAATGTATACCTGAAACCCCAGAAACGACGTCTGTAGCTGAAATCTTGTAAAAGGGAACTCCAGTCTCATGGGCAATTGCATGAGCCAATTTGGTCTTACCACAACCCGGCGGCCCATGGAGTAAAATCCCACCTATCGGGTTGACTCCAAGCCGCTGCAGCACATGAGGATGATACAGAGGCAAAAACACCTCCATCTCCAATTCCTCCAACACTGACTGCATTCCTCCTAAGTCCCTGAACCTAGGCCCATCCTTCCCCTTAACCTCCACACTATCAGTATCAAACAACTGTCCCTTCCCTTTCCACTCATTTCTCACATCAGCCCCCAATCTACTGGCTTCTTCTTCACCTTTGCATGAATTTACAATGTCAACCTTATTTTTGGTTTTGCTATTACTAGCAACCTCCATTTCAATATTCTTCTCCTTCTCTTTTTCTTTCTCTTTCCCTTTCTCTTTCTCTTTTGATTCGGTGGCATAACTCTGGCGTAACATTGATTGCATCAAATCAAACTCCGGCTCCACTTTCTCTCCATAAATTCCATCCTCCGAAGTTGAAACAGCTGAAGAAGAAGGCAATGACTCTGAGTCTGACTCCGATTCCAATGAGGAGGGTGTCGGCTGATTTTGGTCAATCCTTTTGGTATGATCATTTTCGATTTGCAGCAATCTCTTTTCGCTATCATCAGTTCGCTTCCTTCTTTTACGAGATTGACTAGGATAAATGGAAACACCCTCCTCATCCTCCTCCTCTTCCTCTTCTTCATGTTGCCACAGAGAGGAAGACCTTTTGCATGATGATGATGGCGATGGTGATGAAGGATGTAGAATTTGGTTAACGAGTCTAATCAAGGTCTTGAGCTCCATACGCCGGTAGTTGGAGTGGTTTTGGCGGAGGTGGTGGGCAATATCATCTGAGGTTGAGAATTTTTTCTTGCAAGAGTCTATATGATGCTTAAGCATCCTTTGGTTCCTGCCGCCTCCACCTCTGCCTTGTGACCTCCTACTTCCAGCTCCCATCTGCCGCTACTGTTTTTTCTCTATCACACAGTTCCCCTCTTTCCTCTCTCAAGTAGGGATGGCTGCGGGGCGAGTACCCGCCAAAAATCAACTACCCAAATCCGAACCCGATATCAATTTAAGTATCCGAATCCATTTAGAATTACCCGCATACTACTGGAGTTTAATCACAAATTCATTCAATTCATGGAACCCGAACCTGAAAATGCAATAAAAAATATATAAAAAAAATGCAGTAAAATTCAACCTGAAATAATAAAATAATGCAACCTGTAATAATGCAGTAAGATTAACAATCAACACAATCAAATTAAACTAGCTAAAGCCTACAGCCGAGTTTAGATACAATAACAAAGAGAAAAACTATCATCAAGATAACACAAATTGTAAAATAATACATGTTCCTTAGATCTAATTAAGTCTAGTTTAATACTGAGAAAGAATATATAAGTTTAAACTTAAAAGCAAGAACAAGAGGGTCTCTTAATATATAAGTTTAAACTTAAAATCAAGAACAAGAGGGTCTCTTTGAACCTGAAAATGCCTAATTCACATTCCAAGATTTAGATTCTTACAATCTGGGGAAAAAGAAAGTGAAGATAAAATCAACAAATAGAGCTCCTCTTTCATCTAGGATATAATATAATAATTTCATCTAAAAAGTAAACCATTTTAGATGGAAAATAACAAATAAAACATGCACAAAATCCACAAATGAAAAAAAAAAAAAAAAAACGCACAAAAAATCCACAAATGAAAAAAAAAAAAAAAAAACAATAAAAAAAAAAAAAAAAAAACAATAGACATATTTTCCTTGGCTAAACCACAAATTAATTCAATAATATATTCAACAATTCCTCCTCTTTGTGTGTTTATATGTATTATATAAAAAGAAAAAGAAAAAGAAAAAAGAAAAGGGACGAAGGAGAACAAAAAAAATAAATGGAGTACGAAATAAAAAAAAAATAATCAAGAATGAAGATGGAGAAACCTGGCCGGTACCACGGTTGAAGAGCAGGAGTGCTGCAGAGGCGATGGCCACGCACGGAAGCGACGGGAAGGTGCAGAACAATAAGACTGTGAAGTAGAAGGAGAGAAAGAGCGGCGTAGTCTTCTGTTTTGTTTGTACAACCATAAGTTAAAACTACGTAGTTTTGTTTGTGGATTAATTTAAACCTTGCATCAAAATTACGAGATTTTGATGGTAAAACAGTTGTTATTATTATTATTATTATTATAGCTATTAATTAAAAGGCTATAATTATATTTCAATACTATAGTAATTATAATAATAACAATAATAATACTAGGTAAAGTATTAAATTTAATATTTTTTATTAAAGAATATGCATAGTAGATTATAATTAGTTATGGTTGTTGTAATTCTAATTAAATTGTATATTCTGGACTTGTACCTATAGTTATACTAATATATATGATGATACTAATAAAAAGAATAAAAGAACATTTAATTAAGATCCAATTATAATTACGTCTACAAGTTTACTAGTAATATTTTATACGAGTCACATTCTAAATTATTATAATTATTTCTAATTTCATATCTCATACGAATTATATTTTAAATTAAGATCTAATTATAATTATCATTAGAAATTCATTGGTGATTTTGATAAGTAGTTTTAAAATTTTTAAGTATAATATTATTAGCATTCTATTCAATTAATAACTTTTTAATTTTTAATAAATTTCATAAATATCAAACTACAAAAAATTCAACTAAATTATTAAGACACAAATACAATAGTAGGAGCATATTTTATGTGAAAAAAACTAAATTCAAATTATTAAATTATTTTTGCTTGATAAAGAAAAAATATATTAAAATCAATTGAACCCATTAAATTAATAAATACTAGCATAATATAAGTGGAATATTCTCAATTTCATCATTATATATTAAAGAAAAATTATTTATTTATTTAAAAAATTAGAAAATTTGTAATTTGAACATATGAATTTGGATTACCAAATAAAATGTGCTCCTGACGATGAGATAAAATTAATTAGATTGTTATTAATTAGGATTGTTTCCCTCTAAATAATAGTGAAATTTATTATTTAAAAAATTTAGCAGCTGAAATTAGATTATTTAATTATTTAAATATTTAAAGGTGACCATGGTCATCCAAAAACAATAAAAAAATAGAAAAGAATTAGAATAAAAAAATAAAACCCATAAAACATAAAGGAGATAACCAATAATAACCAACTCTTTAAAAAAAAAAAAAATACTCCATTTATTAATTCAAAAAAAATGGTAGAAGATGAAAAATAAATAACAAAAAAAAAAAAAAAACTTGTCTTTGTTGTTGTCATTTGCTTTTACATATGTACAAATAATCAGAAGGTGAAAGCGGCAGATTTTGATTCACCATCATCGTCTTCATCTTTATTTTGCCGCCCATCTTCGTCTGTCTTTTTTACTTTATATTGTAATTTTATATAAAGTTAAAAATCATTAAAAAGATCAAAATACAAAAATTTAATATTGTAATTTAATTTATTCAACAAAAATATACAAAATTGTGTAAAAAATTAATTTTCAATAACTTTAACTTTTATTTTGTTACATTACATTTTTTTGGCTTTTTTTTTACTTTCTAGTCCAAATAGTTTATTGTCTATATAGTCTTTAATAGCTTGATATAATGAATAACTTTTGATTCAAATATTTCTTGTGTATTAATAATAATGTGGTAGAGTGGTGGTTGTAGTTGTGGTGATGGTGGTAGAGAGGTAGTTGTAGTGATGGTGATGGTGATGGTGGTAGAGTGGTAGTTGCGGTGGTGGTGGAGGTGGAGTGATGGTGGTTGTGGTGGTGGTGGTGGTGGTGGTGGAGGAGGTGATGATGATGGTAGTGTGATTGATGGTGGTGGTGTGCTAATTACATTGCATACTTACAAACATAAAAATTAAACGGCGATTACATTCCATAAATTCTCTCAATTACATTCCCCAAATATGCTAATGGAATCTTAATTGCATTCTCTCAATTACATTATATTTTTCATTGCATTGCATTATATCAAACCAAAAATAGCCTTATTTTATCTTTGCATAATAACGTAGTCTCAAACTGAATTGATAATGGTAATCATTTTGACTACATTAGCAGTATTACTTATCCAATGTATTGGATAAGGAAATATGCATACAAATAAATTATTAAAATCCCAAAAAGTGACTGAAAATAAAAATATATAGTTCTATTTTTTTCAGTTTCCTAAATACTATTTTCTTTCAAGTTAAACAGATTTAGGATATAAGAGAATTAAAAATGTTTAATCATCAAGTGGTCATCTATTTATTGCAAGAGAGATATAAATCTTTTACTAAATTAAAATGATAATAGTTACAAATTATTCAATAACAAAAAAGAAATAAAAAAATAAAAAATCATTATTGAGAATAAAATACTTTTCATAACCCAAATAACAAAAAAAAAGTTTCAATATAAATATATCAATAAATTATTATATATATTTTAACTGTTCGCCCAATGCTTACACGCATATGTTCATTTTATTTAAAATAAAAATTTTGAACAAGTAAAATGTAAATTTTGGAAAAGATTAATTAAATGTATCTATTGGACAAAAATTAATTTTTGAAAAATATAATCAAATTCAATCAATTAAATATAAAGAAAAAATATTGAATAAATAAATAATATTATTTTTTCTTTATCTCCTCTCCTAAATAAAAAATGATTATCTATATTCTATTTGAAAATTTATTTTTTTAAAAATATATTCCAATCAAATCATAATAAACATAAATAAAATAGTAATTTTTTTATTTTCCTTCAAAATAAAATATTTAAATATAATTAAAATAGAATCACAAATTTAAAAAAATAAAATATAAAATATTTAATTTTCCTCTATTAAATATATATTAAAAATAAATCTTATTTATTAAAAATAAATTTAAAAAATAAAAACTTAAATTTTGAAATGCTTAATTATCCATATATATTTATTTAAAAATAATTTTATAAATATATCCAATGAATTAAGAAAATGTAATTTTCTAATTGACTATTTCTAAGGTTGTTTTAGCATATTCTAAATTTTATTAAGGGCACTATTGAAAATCACATTATTTTCCCTTATTTCTACATTTATATATAACATAGATAAATTTGTACAATTTATGAAATTTAGCAATTATAAAAGAACAAAATAAATTGAATCAAACAAATACCACTATTTATCTTTATCTCAATAATTATTTATTTATTTAATTATTTTATGTAAACATAAGCATAGGTCAAAATAATAAAATAATTTATAAAAGATAAACAATAAGTGAGAAGACCGAGTGCAATGATGTACCATGCTAGTTGAAAAAATTAAGAATAAAGGCTAATTTAGTCCTTGAACTCGTTTAGTACGATTAAACAAGTTAGTTTTGACCTTTTGGGTCAATTTATAAGTTGAACTTGTATAAAATGTTTATATGATCCAATTTCACTTTTTAGTATCATTTAACCTCTAAACTTATTTAAAATGGTTAAAAAAAAATCATATTTGACATTTTAAGTTAATTTAACCTTTAATTCTTTATTGTACTTAGAATGTAAAAATTATTATATAGATATTTATTAAAACTGTAGTTGAGATCGAGCTGACTAATTTATAAAAAAATAATTAATTATAAAATATAGAAAAATGATATATGAAGTACATTATATCTCTCTTTACCTTGATTAATGATTGTGAGTTTATAAATATGTACTAATTTGAACATTTTAATAAATATGTACTAATTTGGCAACACTTATAAAAATTAATCTTGGCTGTTACTGGTGGGGTTATTGCTAAAGATGTCTATGCAGGTTTTTTCATGTTAAAGGTAATTAAAGTTCTAATGGGCATGTTTGATAATATTTTATTATATTACATAGAAATGTTGATATATATTATGGTTTTAAAATTTATTTCATAACAAGATAATAGAGAAAAATTATTAGTTTGAATTTGAGTGTAAATCTTAATTCAGTAACAATATATGGGATTGAAAAAATCAATAATACAAGCTTTAAATTAAAATCAATTACTTAATTTTATAAAAAATTGAAACACAGACGTATCAGACTGGGTTAAAATTAGAGCCCTAAAAAGAGTATAAAGAATACAGAATCTATATAATTATGACAGATATATATTACGACAAAATATCAAGCGCATAATGAAAAAATTGAGGTGCCAAAGATCATCATCTCTCGCACGTATCCAACCATTTTGCTGTATGTTTACTTCATTTAAATTTAAGGAACTAATTTACTTTCTTTCCAAAAATTAATATAAATCTTAAATCTACATTAAAAAGCATTATAATATATAATATTATTTAATATTATATTTATAATATTAGTAGAAATAAAAGAGATATATATATATATATATATATAAGCTGAAATAAAGAGAAAGTTTTAAGGCGTTCTCTTTGTTCAACATTCCATTTTTCTTGTTCTAGAAAATTTTGAGTTTTTTGTGTTTTAATTGGCCAACCTAATTATTTTTTTCGATTTAATATTTAATAAATAGCAATGCTAATTGATAACTTTTAAAACCTAATCTAATTCAACTAAAACGTTTTCATTTAAATTTTTGAAACTAAAATCTCGCTATATATATAATTGAACTTGGATGTATATTGTTAGCACCAAAGGGGACTTGAGAGTTTGCTGTTCCACCGTAGAGATGGCTGTGTTGTGCTATCTAAGACAATTGAACTGGACTTTTTATGGTAGCTTTGAAAGATGGGTAAGTGGTCAAATTAAGTGTTTTTGCTAACCTATTTGTTTACTTGTATTCTGAATTATTGTCCAATCCAATTATATTTCTTTAATTACAAAGTTCTTGTTGCTATGTCAAATCTTGATGCGTTGCTTAAGGATACACCAATCTGAAAGGAGGGAAACGAAGTTCTACCCACACACTATAGGGAGCTTCTCCAGTTTGCATTTTTCTACGAGTGAGTTTGTTTTCCAATTATTTTATAATTCTGTGTTTCTTGAGCACTATGTGATTTTTATTATCAATATTATTGTATATTTCTACCTCAAATCCTTGTGAATAGAGGTTAGTTCTTTAATGATTCTTTGTAGGCTCCTGTTTAATGTGTTTATAAGTGTAACAATTCTTTGCTAAGTCTTTCTTTTTGTCTTTGCAGCACAAAACATACTAAAGAATTGGTCTCGCGGATTGTTTTGTTTTTATTTTTTTATTTTTTATTTTTTGTCTTGCGGATCGTTTTTGTTTTTTTTTTTGTCTTGCAGATTGTATTTTTCGTTTTTAGGTCTTGCGGATTGTATTTTTCTTTTTTCTGATCTTGCGGATTGTATATTTTGTTGTCTTGCGGATTGTTTTTTTTTTTTTTCTTTGCAAAGAAATAGCCGGCAAGTATATCAACTATATTTATTAAAATATTAAAAAAATTTTATTAAAATATTTAATAATTTAATTGATGAATAAAAATTATTAGCATTTTTTATGAATTTATCTCTAACCCAAACTCTAATATAATTATAGCATTTAAATATGACTATAACACATTCTATTAATTAAATCATAATCAATACGCTCTTAAGGGTGCAGGTTAATAAATTAATTTTTTTTGATACATGAAAACAAATCAATTTAATTTGGATGTTTATTAAAACGTTAACCAAAAAATATTATTAAAATGTTTAATGATTTAATTGATGTTTTTATTTATTAATTTTATATTAGTTATGTTAATGATATTAAATTTTAAACATCATGTGAATGGTAAAGAATTACTAATCAAAGTAATGAGACAATACATAAATAAATATATAAATAAAAATATATATTTTTATATTTAAAATTTATATAAAAACAATCACATAATACTCTGATAAGCCATTGATCGGATTTACTGATGTCTACATATACTGAAAGAAATCACGTTTTAGTATAAGTATCAAGAGTTATCTAAATCATTCTCCAAAAAAGTCTCCTTAGACAGTGGTGTCAAGGTTATAATATTTCACATTTTTTTCTTGATTGCATGATTCATACCTATATCATTCATGGTATCGATATAATATCCGGTATTGATCAACCCAACACCAATATGTATATCTGTTAAATCATCATTAAATACACATTGTTTACTGTAGGTACATTTTATTTATTCACTTTATATACGTTTGTATCATAGATAAAAAAATTGAATTGTCTTTTGTTCAATCGATCACAGTGTCACAGATGTGTAGATACATATCCATCCAATATATTTAGAAGATAATGAAAGGACACAGTACTATGCCATAAAGTATATTAAATATCCCAATGTGTAAGATATTTTAATTAGTTTATATATTTATATAGACATTTACTCAAATTCCCACACGAAAGAAAGAAAAATATATTGTTAAGATAGATTTTCTTTTTATCGTTATTCTTTTTTATTTTACTATGCATTATATCTTCTTTGGTTTTCTATCTTTTATATGATATATAGAATATATAATCCATTCATTAAAGAATTAATAAAATAAATTCTAAGCACTAGTCTTCATCTTTCATCAATTATATATTCTCCTATTTTTTTAAAAATTTAAAGACAAAATTTATTTTATTTTTCCTAAAAAAATTGAATTGGGATCTTGAATTATAACTTTTCATTCAAACATTTATTTTTAATTCATTTTAATAGATCTATAGATTATCACTATAACTTTCACTAATTTTTTTAATTTATTTTACTTATATGTTATTAATCTTCTTATTAAAAATTATATAATATTTAGCATAATATAAATATTCTAATATTATTCTAAATTAACCCCTGATAGACGAAGCCTCTTTATTAACCCGGCATATAACAAAACTAAACTATTTTCACCCGCTTCCGCTGGTTACGCGTTCTTCCATATTTAAATATATATATATACTACGCATTCTTCTTTTTTCCCTTCACTTCTCCGTTTCAAGAAATCAATTTTCAAAGAAAGGTACTTCAACTGCAATCATGGCGTCTTCTTCTTGTTTCCGGTTGGTGACGAACTGGCACCATTTACTTTAAGCTGTCTCAGATATATATTTTTAAATTATTTTATTATATGTTATTAATATTTTTAAATTAATTATATTTAGATAATATAAATAATTAATATTATCTAAATTAAAAACCTGAATGCCCGAAGCCATTTATTAACGGATAATAAACAACACTAATATTTTCACCGACTTCGACTGGTTAGGTTTCCATATTTAAACTCTTCTTTCCCTCCCATTCTTCTTTTCCCTTCAACCTTCTCCGTTTCAAGAATCAATCTTCAAGAAAGGTCACTTCACTGCAAATCAATGGCGTCTTCTTCTTGTTCCGGTTGGTGACGTGCACCAATTTACTTTACTGTCTCAGTAATCTTAGCTTTCACAGCCATCTCCTCTTCTCTGCATTCTTCAGGCAGCGGAACAACACCAATGCCAAACAGACCAATAAACCGCCAACTAATTCTCAACGCATCAATGGCTTTAAGAAATTCAGGTTTCAATTTAATGGCTACTCTTCTCTTAATTTCTCCTGAAGTCTTTCTTTCATCTCCAAATTCAACAATTTTCCCCATTAAAGACTCTGCTCTTGTAAACGCTTCTTTCCCTCCATGGTTCTTGAAACATCTCCTTCGATACCATACCTCTCCTTTATTATTTTTAATGGATAATCTTTTAAAGAAACCTAAAGGTAGCTGTTTCCCTACGCTTATTCATAGAAAGAATGTTGCTGTAACAATGGTTGAGGCAAAAGAGAGATTATTAGAGATTAGTCATGCGTTGGTTTCTCATCCTGATTTGTTTCTCGAAGGAAATTTGGCAATTCATGGCGTTCTTGGACCTTTTTCTTTCCTGGGAAGTGGTTTTAAAGATTTTGATAAGATTTGAGATTTTTCTATTCAAGCTCCGATTTGTGATTCAAATTTTAGTTTAGTTTCGGATATTGATGAGACTAAGAATTTGACCGAATGGACTAAAATTGTTTGTTTGTTAAGCTCTAATGGATTTGTGTCTTTCGCAATTGGATTGAACTCTGTTCTTGATGGGATTCTTGAAGATTTTAGAGATTTGTATTCTGTTACAATTTTCACTCAAGAATTTGAATTTCTGGCTTCTCCTTCACCAGTTCTTGATAGGGTCGTCAGGCTGCATATTCTGCCTCAAAGAGTTACAAATTCAGAATTTGCTTTTTTGCCAGATAAGAAATTACTTGGTACACTCCTTTCTAGTCAAGAACTGCAGATAATAGCTGGTCTAAATGGCTCGCAAGGAATATTCATTAATGGAGTGGAGATTGTGGCGCCAGAAATCATTGCATCAAAGCAGTTCATAATTCATGAATTTCTCAGGCTTTTCAGGTGGCTGAGCTTCCTGATACATCAAGATAATAGTACCTAAAGACAAAAGCTTAGCTTCACTTTTGTTGTGTCGGATATGAATGGTATTTTTCCTGCAGAAGATAGGAAGAGTTTGATTGTTGTTACACTTCCAAGCTGTAAAATACTAAGCTGAGTCTCATCAGTATATCGGATACTTCATTTGAGAAGCAGTTAATTCACAGAAAGAAGTATGTTATTTAGCTTTTGATTGTAATACATTTTTCTAAAAAGTGAAACGTTTGCACTATTTCCAAAACATTGTTGACAGACCTGATGAAAAATAACTACTGCTAGAGGAAAACTCAGATCCTTAACTGGACAATAAAGATGAAGAAGAAAGAAAAAGTATTTAAATAACATATCAATTATCCAGTTTATGCAGGAAAGTAGAGCTGCCTAAGGTCTAATAGGAGGACTTGCTGATGCTGCTGAAACTGCTCCTGTAATTGGTCATCCCTCCAGAATCATAACATACTTCCTATGATACAATGGGTAATTGGCTTTCCCCTAAAGATGTCAGATAAAAATTGCAGTAAAAATTAGAGGCAGAAACATGACCCGAAACGAATATTTTTGCATGCAAAATGACGTTATAAGAAAAAAAAAAAGGTCATTCGCAGTGATGGAACAAAAAGGGAAAGCCTCGATATAAAACGAATTAGAAGAGAATTATTAACACCATGAGAATCAGATTCCCAGATTAATATTCTACTTAAACACTAACGTTGGATCTTCAAGAGTAAATACATCTAATAATGATAGTCAAAGACAAAAATTTTGTTACTGTATGAAAATATTAGAATATTTTGGGTAAGTTCAATGGAGAAACTTGTCCCCAAAGAATAACCTGAGGTTTCATTTTTTTCTTAACCATCATTAGTTGCAGAATGCCCTCTAAATTTGAACACAGGATGACAAATGTTGCCAAGTGAAAGGAACTGCTCAAGCGAATGACAGAGGTTTGTGACATGCTCCCCAATAGGAATTGAATGTTACTAGGCATCCACTGACAAAAGGCATCACTGTGGGCTGCTCCTCAACAACATACTCCAAATGCTGGAGCAGGAAAACAATGAGCATCATTCTGCACATTTCTTCCCTCGTATATAAGGAAATGTTCTATTGCCTCTAGAATGGTACACTCAAATTTGTGCTTTGGAAATCCATTAAAATGTCGCCTTTACATATCCATGAAACTGAAAGAAAAAATTCATGGGCTCATTTAGATTTTCTTATATGTAAAATCAAGACATATTGATTTACCAAGTGAAATAAAATTAGCAGAAGATGCTCATCAAATGTTGCACATGATGACAGGTAAGCACCTAGTAGTGGATATAGAAACCTTAAAAAATTCAGACAATTATCCCAGGATTATTTGTATTCACGACACACGTCTAACAGCTACCAATACTCGATTGCCAAATCATATTTCCACTCATAGAACACGAATCACATGAATTGTAAGATACAGTAACACTGTTCTCACTAGACGAAGGAAAGAACCAAGACCACAATGTGAATTCCGGATTATGGGCAAACAAATATGGAAATTAAATAATAAATAAATAAACAACTAAAAATCAATAGCTGAGGGAACAGATGATATACAGGTTTATTTCTTCACTACTATATTCTTAGATGATCACAATCTCATCTATGCAGATTGTTAAAAATGAGTTATTATGCTGTATCATCAACAGAAGAGACTGCTAATCATCAGCTATAGAAGCAAATGCATCAATTCAAACCCACACAAAAGACAATAATAAACAAGAAATTCAAGACCAATGCTCTCATCAAATAAAGTAACCAAGAACAGAATGTCAATTCTTATTTAGGAAGGAATAAAGATGAGAAAAACATCCCTAGCTCAGTAGCTAAAGAAATAAATAATATACAAATATACATAGGCCGTGTTGTTAATTCAAGACCAACGCCAAGCTTCTCAGAAAATCAGAACCTTATTTGGGATTTTCAGAGCTTCAACATTTTTATTGCTGAACCACCAAACTTTTACTTTTACCCCCATAACTTTTTTAGCTTCGCAAATCCATCTATGCAGATATTCAAAATAAGTTTTGGCGAATCATACCATCAGAAATCACTAGGAGTTTATTTGACATTTAGATTGAAATTATATAGGTGTTGGAAAGAAACAGTTTGAGAGTATATGTACACTTCATCTTAAGGACAAGCTTCAATGATTTCTAGTCAATATTTTCTAAGTATTGCTTTTCTCGACAGTAATTAAACAGTATGAATATCAATACTAGAAGCCACAAAGAAAAGAAAAAAGAAAAAAGAAAAACAAGAAACTCAATATCATTAAAAAACAGATCAATAGTATTTACCAAGAAAGAAAAAGGATTCATGAAGGAGAAGGATTCATGAAGGAGAAGAAAGACCAACTCTCATGATAATTCTAGTCATCTTTACACCAATTAAAGTAACATTCTCAGCTCCAACAAATTTGGAATTCCTAAATAATCGAAAAATCTCATTCACCTCATCCTCTCCACACTCCTCCACCACCACCACACAAACACCACCTTTCCTCACCGTCCTCTCCATTTCCCCAACAAATCTTAATGGAAACAATGCCTCCGTTAAATGTGCACTAAAACCCAAATCAAACACTCCATCAAAAAATGGCAAATTATTTGGGTCAGCCTTCTGGACTAGCGGCAAGGAATCAACCAACTCAACACCTGTAACATCAGTAATACCCATATTACTCAAAGCCATGACTTCATGGCCAGCCCCCGCGGAGACACAGAGAACCCTAGAATGGTTATGTAAGAGATTGAGGTGCTGGAGCTGTGAAAAGAAGGAGGTGAAGGAAGAGAGTTGAGATAGCCAGGATTTAGAGGACCAAAGGCGGTGGTTTTTCTTGGCGAGAGGGAGATGGGGGCGGCGGAGCGAGGGGTCGCAGGTGGAAGAAGGGAATTTGAGGTGAGGTTTGCTGATTGGACTGTTCGGTGGAATGCAAGTTTGAGGAGTTTGGAGATAAAGGAAAAGAATAATGAATGTGGCTAGGGCTACACAGGCTATAGATATTTTATTTAGGAAATTTTGTATGTGCCTTTCCATTGATTTGGTCATTGGAGAGGAATTCAGAAGAAGGTCAACAACCTCTGATCCATTTCCTTTGGAGAAGATGGATCCAGATCACCTATGAATGCTCTTTCCAATTCTCCGTTCACGTTTTTTTTTATTATTTTTTTATTATTTTTATTTTTATTGTATTGTTACGGTGTCGTTTAGGGACCCATATACGATGTCGTTCCATGGTATAATCTTAGTGAAAATTATTGCTTAATAAAACGAAATCTTTTTAAGTTTCTCGGGATTAATTAGGTTTTTATACTCTGTTTTTTCCTTTTCAAACTAGGCTTTCACTTTTTGTTAGGGTATAAATTTATAATCTCACTTTATTTAAAGACAACAAATTTGATTAAATTTACTTTATATAATTAAAATTAATTATATAAATTTTCAACAAATTCCGCAAAATTTTAAATTCTTTTGGCTAAAGGGGAAAAACAGCAGAGGAGGGAAAAATTTTGGATCTAAGCATATAGGCATGCAACAAGAGGATCTCTGGTTCAATTGACTCATGTACCTCATAGCTGAAGATAATTTGATACACAACATTTATTTTTTTAATTTATAAAAATAATCAATACTAATAAAATTATATTTTTTTTTTTTTCATTTTTATGATTATTTTATTTACAACTATTTGAAAATAATAAATTTCTATTAAATATTATTTTAAAACATCTATATATATATATTTATTTATATGTGAAAGCTCAAATAAAGAGACAATTCAAAACTCTTTTTTTTTTTTTGAGTATTTTATTTTTTTTATTTAGAAATTTTTGAAGTTCTTTTCATTTTTTTATATTGTGATTGGAGAATTTAAATATTTTAATTAATATTTACTACACATTATTTATATTGATTTATTTAAAATTATTGAGTGTTATTTTATTTATACACCATCGCTCTAAAATGTATTTGAGTTGTTTAAATTATACGTATACTCTGCGTAAAATCACTCTCACACACTCTCTCTTTTGCACGAGAATTTTTGTTCCGGACCCAAAATCATTATTCAGGTAATTTTTCTTTTATTTGTCTTTAATTCTTTTTTTAATTTTTTAATTCTTATCAACCAATTTTACTGTTCTTAATTTGCTTATTTTGTTGGTATAATCCTGAACCTATTCTGGGTGTTATTTAAATTTAAATTTTATTGTAGGGTCTGTCTTTTTATATTATTACTACCGTCGCTTCCTAAAATGTTATTTGTGTGTTTAAATTCTACCGTATATCTCCATGTTCCGTTAATATATCTAAACATACCTTCACTATACCCTCGTCGTTTCTTCATATAGCCACAGAAAGATTAATTTTTTGTTCCGGAACCTAGAATCTAATTCAGGTCAATTAAATAGGTATATTCTATTTTCTTTATAACTTCTTGTCTTTGTATTAGTCTTTTTTTCAAAATTTTTAGGTATTCTGTATCACCACATTTTATATACTGTTCTTGACACTCCACTAATGTCTGTCTTATGTATGTTGGTATAATACTATGTAGTAGAAGGTATAATTTTTCATGTTATATCCATTTCTACCACATGTGTAATTTCCTAACTCCAGACCAGTCAATTTTATTGTAAGGTAGAAAAAGGCCGCAATTTATCAAGTTTTCTACCATTCGCCTAAAAGTTACAGAGCTATTCATACTCGACGATTAGCATTATCTAACTCCTATCACAGTAGATGGTTATTCAGTGGCTATTGTTATCCTGGTGACTCTAATGAGAATTTGATAACTCCTATTTGCTCTTTTTATAAAATTTTAGTCAATATTTAAATTTTTTTTGTCATTTTAAATTTAATAGTCCGATTAAAATAATTATTTTTATTCAAACACATTAATTTAAACCCTGCATATATTAAAAAGTTAACGATTAATACTTTACAGAAGTTCAATTAGTTCTATTATAAAACAACTACACGGTCCTTAGTACTGTACAGGTGACCCATTTGATGAAACGTTAGTAAAATAATTTTTAGTTGCGTTTGGCGTAGAAATTATTTAAAATATTGTTGAATAGTTGCATATATCTATGGTTGAATGTAATCTTGTTTACCCAATGTTACATGTGTGAAAGCATGAAAGTATTTTATTTTTATTAATATTTTGGAGTGAAACTTATAATTTATTGTATATACTCCAGCATGTCGCATACATATATGATTTGAGCATCAAAAGTATGAAATATTTGATTTTAAATTCTCAGAAATTTCTCATATTGAAATCTCTCTATATTTATTGGTGTAAATCAGTAATAATGGCTTTTCATTTCTATAAAAAGATTGAATTACCAATCAAAGAGATAATTATGCTCCTCTAATAAGGAAACATCTATGTATCAAAGTTTATATTTATTATCAATTAACTAATACGATCTTTGTAATTTAACTAAGACATATGATAATGAACCCTTAAAATCATTATTATTCTACTCAATTAAATATTAATAAATACTCTTCGATGACCCCCAATTAAGGCAGTCATTTCCGAAGCCGATCCTTTTATAATTTGGTTTATTAAATAGCAATAATAATTATTTTCCTTTTGCAATAAATTTCTCTCTCTTTTCTTCGCTACGAAAATTTTTGGCAGTTTAACCTTTATTTCCTATTTATATACTGTTTTCTCTTTATTAAGACCTTATCTTAATAATAATTTTTACTTTATTAATTTTAATTATTATTAAACTAGTCAAACTAATCATGCATAAAATGCGAAGTAATTTGAAGAAGAAAATAAATAGAAAAAGATTAGATTAAATATTCAAAAAGAATGAATACAGTAAGTTTGTATATGGTGACTTCATAATGGATTGACTTCTATTGCTCTAATTTAAAATTTTAAGTCAATATTTAATTTTTTTTGTCATTTTAAATTTAATAGTCGATTAAATAATTATTTTTATCAAACACATTAATTTTAAACTGCAATATAAAAAGTTAACGACTAATATTTAAGAGTCAATAGTTATTAAAACAACTAACGGCTAGTACTGTAAGGTAGACCCCATTTGATGAAACGTTAGTAAAATAATTTTTAGTTGCGTTTGCGTAGAAATTATTTAAAATATATGTTGAAATAGTTGCATATTACTATGGTTGAATGTAATTTGTTTACCAATGTTAATGATGTGAAGAATGAAAGTAATTTTATTTTTATTAATATTTTGGATGAAACTTATATTTATTGTAATATCCAAGCATGTGATAATATATGATTTGACAATAAAAGTATGAAATCATTTGATTTTATTCATAGAAATTTCTCATATTGCAAATCTCTCTATATATTGGTGTAAATCAGTAATATGCTTTTCATTTAAAAAAGATTGAATTAACATAAAGGTAAATGCTATTACCTAAAACATTGTAATAAGTTCTAAATTTTAAATTAAAAATCTTTGAATTTTAATATGATAATGAACCAATAATTATTTAAAAAATATAAATATTCGGAGCGTATTTCCGAGCGATCTTTTTATTTTTTATCTAATTTTTCTTTTGCAATATTTTTTTTTTCGTAGAAAATTTTGAGTTTATACTTTTATTTTCCCTTATTTTTATGTTTTCATTTACCTACTTAATTATTTTTTTTATTTAATATTTAATGTAAAACAATGATAATTGATAATTTTTAAAAGGTTCAATAAATAAATTGACCCAAGTACTTTTCAAGAAAAATCTTATGGCGCTCTCAATTTTCACTTTGATCTAATGATTACTTAAATTTATAAATTGCACCTATTAAACCCTTTAATTGACTTATTAAACACCTCAACTTATAAAATTAGATCAATTATTCACTTATTGAATTGTTAAAAAATTTAAAAATTATTATTTTAAAAGCTATACTAACCACATATCAAATCAATATTTTGCATATAAAGTCAAAAACTTTAAAAAATTATTATTTCTAGTGTAATAAGGTGTGGGATTATTGCAAAAGGAGAAATTCGGAGTGCCAAAAGGTCAATTTTAACGTTGAGGGTACCAAGGAATTTTTTTTATTAATCTGCAGGGTTAAATTATGTATGCATCCATTTTTAAAATTAGATTTTATTTAAAATATAATTTTTAAAAAAAAAAAATTGTATGCCTGTATCAACCTCTATATATAGAACATATAATTTAACAAATGGAGAATTTGTATTCAAGCTTTTTTAATATTTATATTAAAAACAAAAACTTTTTGAAAAATAATAACATAATAATCTTATTTAAAAAAATATATATAACACCGTTTGATTAATATTTTTTAAATAATAAATTAAAATAAAAAATAATATATCTATGTAAAAAATTTTAAAAAATATGCACATTATACAGCACTATATAAAAAAATTTAACCACAACAATTATTAAAATCATCCACCATACATCTAGATCAAATGAAACTACTAAACTAAACGGGATCTAGAGATAAAGAAAATTCTCTCCCCTTGATAGTTTGTTTCTCGGCCAATGAGAGAAACAAATATACATGGCTCTGAAATTTTCCTTACCAGGAAAGCATTTCCCACCACTTTATTCAAATGTCTCAAACCCAATTTTTCTTTGGCTCTTCATTTAAACAACAATGGCCATTTCTATGGTGGCTTCGATCCTGACACATTTTACGCATCTCTCATTGATAATTCGGTCGACAAAGGCCACCTATATCAAATTCATGCCCAGTTGCTAGTCTCTCAATTGCAGTATAACGGCTTTCTAATTGCTGAACTCGTTAATTGTAGTTCTAATTTAGATGAAATTAGTTATGCACGCAACGTGTTTGATTTTTTTCCTGACCCAGATGTGTTTTTGTGGAATGCGATTATTAGATGTTATTCGAGGCACAATCTATTTGATGATGCTATTGTCATGTATCAAAGAATGCTAATGGCATGTGTTAGTCCTGATGGTTTCGCTTTCCCTCTTGTTCTCAAAGCTTGCAGTGCCCTGTTTGCATTTGATATAGGCCGGCAGATACATGGGTAGGTTTTTAGGCATGGGTTTGAAACTGATGTGTTCGTGCAGAATGGGCTTGTGGCATTTTATGCAAAATGTGGTCCTATTGCACTGGCTAATGTCGTTTTTGATAGGTTAACCGATAGAACAGTTGTTTCTTGGACTTCCATCATTTCTGGGCATGTTCAGAATGGGCAGCCGATTGAAGCATTGAAAATTTTCAGTCAAATGAGGAAAATGAATGTGAAACCTGATTGGATTGCTCTCGTCAGTGTTCTTAAGGCATATGCTGATGTAGAAGACCTGAAACATGGCAGATCACTTCATGCTTGTGTTATTAAAATCGGCCTTGAATTTGAGACCGATTTGCGTATTTCACTTACTGCCATGTATGCAAAATGTGGCAAGTTAGGATTGCTAGGTTGTTTTTTGATCAGGTGAAAATCCCAAATTTGATCTTGTGGAATGCAATGATTTATGGTTATGTAAAGAATGGGCATGCTGATGAAGCTCTGGAGCTCTTTCATCAAATGATAACTAAAAACTTGAGGCCAGATTCTATTACTGTCACATCTGGCATCATGGCATGTACAGAAATAGGTTCTCTTGAATTAGCAAGATGGATGAGTGATTACATTAGTATGACTGAATTTAGAAATGATGCTTTTGTTAACTCTGCCTTAATTCATATGTTTGCAAAATGCGGTAGTGTTGATTCGGCACAAATTGTTTTCAATAGAGCATTGGATAAAGATGTGGTTTTGTGGAGCGCAATGATTATGGGGTTTGGATTGCATGGTCATGGCCAAGAATCCATAAATCTTTTTGATGCAATGAGGCGAGATGGGGTGCAGCCAAATGATGTTACCTTCATTGGGCTCCTTACAGCATGCAAAAATTCAAGTATTGTAGAAGAAGGATGAGAGCTTTTTGACCGAATGAAAGAGTATGGAATTGAACCACGTCACCAGCATTATGCCTGTGTGGTTGATCTTCTTGGCCGCAAAGGGGATCTAGAACGAGCTTATAAGTTTATCAGGAACATGCCAATTGAACCAGGTGTAAGTGTATGGGGAGCTCTTCTGAGTGCATGCAAGATCCATCGGCATTTCACCCTTGGAGAGTATGCTGCTGAGCAGCTATTCTCGTTAGATCCATATGATACTGGGCATTATGTTCAGCTGTCAAATCTTTATGCTTCAGCTCGACTGTGGGATTGTGTTGCAGAAGTACGGGGCTTAACGAGGGAGAAAGGATTGAATAAGGACATGGGCCAAAGTGTGATTGAGATAAATGGAAAGCTTCAGGCATTTCGATTTGGAGACAAATCATATCCAAGATCCAGTGAGATTGTTGACGAGCTTGTGAATCTAGAGAGAAGTTTAAAGGAAGCAGGATTTTTCCCACATACAGAATCTGACTTGCATGATTTGAATGATGAAGAAATTGAGGAGACGCTTTGTAATCACAGTGAGAGGCTTGCAATTGCTTATGGCCTTATCAGCACTCCTCCAGGAACTACACTTAAGATAACAAAGAACCTTTGGGCATGTGTGAATTTTCATGCAGTAACCAAGCTTATTTCAAAGCTTGTAAACAGGGAGATAATTGTGAGGGATGCAAATCGTTTTCACCATTTTAAGGATGGAGTTTTTTCATGTGGAGATTATTGGTAAGGTAAATTCCCAACTCCTTTTATTCAAAATTTTCGATCGGTGTCGGTTTGCTTTGATCACAATGGCTTACAAATGTTGCATAAGCATCGTTCAAAGGCTTTGGCTTTGAAGCAAGGTAGAATTTCTTGGAAAACTGGTTTTAGAGGGAAAATTTGGTATGATAGGCAGATTTGGAAATAAATTTTTTTGACAAGTTATTCCTAAAATAGTTTATAATGGAAAGAAGAAAATTTAATCCTTTTTCTTGTTATGAAATTAGTTATTGTATGTCAAATCATCAGCTATTGCCTATATTTATAAACTATTTTTATAAAAAGGCCAAATGCATATTTTCACCCATGCACTTTTTTAAATAAAAAAAAATAATTTTGTGGCACTCTAAATTTTATAGGAGACTTATTAGTCAGGAAATTTAGTAAGAGGGGTCCAACTAAAATATATATTTCACAAAAATCACATATATAAAATAAATGCAAGCAACAAAAATTCCTTGCAATTAAAAAATAATTGATTACAATTAAATTACAATAATTATCTGAGTTTTCATTGATTGAAATCTATTTATAATAACTTCATTGTCAATACTTGCAAATACATCTCTTTTGATCCCCTTTTTATCACAAAGTGAACTTTTAATGATTTTCATCGCAGAAAAAATTCTTTCCACTGTGGGTGTAGCAATTGGTAAAATTACCGACAATTTGACTAACAAATACACCAAAGGAAAAACAATATGATTTCTTGTGGCAAATATTTTCTTTGCAAGGCCTCCAATTCCATTCGGCTCCAATTCCACTAACTTCAGAAAAATTCTTATCCATATGCATATCGAAGATAAGGTTTTCAAGTTGAGATTTAAGTTCAATTAAAATAACATGAGTAAATTCAAATTGATAAAACTTTGCAAGTTCAATTAATTTGCCTGTATCAAATGCTAAAAATGAGTTTTTAGGATCAAGACACACCATACATAAAAGCAAATTTGTATTAACTTCATCGGATCAATTATTAAGTTCTTGTAAATGCATATCATTCACGGGCTAATATAGCTCAACACAATAAACGATGAATATTTGTCATTTCTTCACTTCTACATCTTGATCTCCTTGTACCTACATAAACATCCTCCATATTTATTACACTTATATATCATATTTATCATAAAACTCCAACACTTCAAGTAATAAAGATTCCCCAACCATCTTCTCTAATTACTTGTAAATGATATTTTGACACTTTAACTAAACTTATAACATTCACTGTATCTTGATTTTTAATAATGACTTACTTAGATAGTGCTAGTTGAACATGTTGATTAACCGATGATGATGGAGATTTTGCGATAGTAGTTTTTTTTTTTTTAAGTACCGTTCCATAACTATACAAATAAAAATATTATTGTTAGATATAATTAAAAATATAAAGTTCTATATTGCAAAACTAATTAATTTATTAAGCACCTCTAATTAGATATGTAACTGATTTGTTGGTTTGTTTAAAAAATACATAAATTCTAAAGCTTTAAAAAATAAAAATTAATATTTGTAGGTTTTAGTTAGTAATAAGAGTAAATATTGTTAAAAAAAACTTTATAATATTTTATGAGTTTAATTTATAAATATTGATTGGAAAATTGTATCAATAAAAGAATTGTATTGATTTTATTTTCTATACACTACTGTATCATCATGTGAATATATATTCAAGTTGACACCAAGATAATTTTTTGGATAATTTTTTAGGGATAACGTTAATTTTGGTCCCTGAACTTGTTATTTTTTCTATGTTGGTGTATGAATGAAAATTGTGATAATTGATTGTCTAAATTTGCATTTTTTTTTTCAATTTGGTATTTTATGATGACATGGACAATCGGAAAGTCTAATGGAACTAAGTGGGATCCACAAATGCATATGTGTCCGCTTACGTAGACTGATATTTTTCCACGTATGCTGACAGCATGACAAAATTAATGAAAAGACCTATTTACTCCAATTTATCAGATCTTTCATATGTGATTTAGGTTAGAGTTTTGGGGAAAGGTGTTTGGGGCGGTGATAAATTGGGGTAAATAAGTCTGTTCATTAATTTTGTCACGCTGTTAGCATACATAGAAATATATCAATTTATATAAGCGAACCCATATGCATTTATGGGTCCCACTGAGTCCCATTAGACTTTCCAGTTGTCTATATTATCAGGGGACACCAAATTGAAAATAAAAATGAGAGTTCGGACACTCAAATATCATAATTTTCCGTTCAGACATCAAAATAGAAAAAAATGACAAATTTAAACACCAAAGTTAATATTATCCCATTTTTTGTTAGCAAAGATAATAATTTTATTAATTTTATATATATATATAACGCACTTAAAATTAATAATTTCAAAGCCACAATTTCATACCTCCAATAAATAAATTAATAAGAAAAAAGAAGAGAGAGAGAATTTTGCAATCGCAACAAGTATAACAATAAAAATATAAAAGAAAGAAAGCTTAAAAAATAGAAACTTACATTGGAAATTTGGCTTCTTGTGTTTAACAAAAGTGAAACGGTGCTGTGGGGCTAAGATTTGATAGTAGGATTGCATTTTTCTTTTGTTTGTTTATGTAGTTCTTATTTATATTGACATTTGATATTATTGTATACTTTAAAATAATTATCCTTCAATTAAATATCAGAAAAAAATATTTCTGACAGGTCAATAAATATATTACAAGACATTATATGGAGGAAATTATAAAAGTTTAAAATGTTTGGTCATGAATGAGTAAAAAACTAATTTTATTGGTTTGATGTATGAATAGGCCAATATACCGGGTGTAGGTAAGTCCTTCTCAGTGATGAAATCGTTGTGTGAAAGAGAAATGATTAAAAATGAATGGGATTATTTAAAATATTGATATGTGTAAGTTCTAAATTTAAAAAATAAATAAATAAATAATGAAGTGAATCGAGCAAAAAGCAATAATTATTAAATATTTTTAAATTGCAATGGCAATAATTCTTCTATATCTTCATTCAATGATTTTACTAATAAAAGCCATCCTATGTATTGAAGGAAACTTTTATTTCGTTATAATTTAAATTATTTCATGATTAATTTGTAAAGGGAGTAAAACTGCATAGCCTAATGTGTTGAAAATTTTATTTAAAATTAGGGAAAATTATTATTTCATGCCTGAGGTTTTACATAATTATTTAAATAGTCCTCGACATTTATACATATATTTATAACGTCCCTGAAGTTTGTTACCGTCATATTAATTGGTCCTTTCGTAAAAAAAATACACTTTTTCCGTTAATTTTGAGAAGAAAAGACGAAATTATCCTTTGAAAAAATAATTATTTCGTCCCTGAGGTTTGCCATATTTTGAGAAAAAAGAACCGAAATTATCCTTTTGAAAAATAATTATTTCGGTCCCTGAGGTTTTGCCATAAATTATTTAAGCAGTCTCCTACATTTATATAATAGTTTATAAAACGTCCCTTGAGATTTTACTCTTGTCATATTAATTAGGTTCTTCCATAAAAAAAATACTATTTTCCATTAATTTGAACGGGAAAAGACGAAATTATCCTTTATAAGTTTTCATTTTGACGTTATTATTAATCCCTTTTCTCTAAAATACCTGAACACAACATTTTCACCATCTTCCTCAACCCAAAACACGATTCTTCATTGCCACCACCGTGTCATGAAAACTATCATCTCCATAACCAGATACCACCAAAACTAAACCCAAACATCCAAACTCAATCAAGCCATCATCACCCTTCATCCATTTATCTCTCTCTTCCTTGATAGAGAATTTTAGGTTAGTTTGGTCATTCTATTTAAAAATTAAAAGCAAAAAGTTTTTTTGGACGGAAGAACAAGTAATATGACGGAAGTAACCTCATGAACGTTATAAATATTTGTATTAAATAGCTGGACTTACTTAAAATAATTATGGCAAACCTCACGATGAAATAATTTAGTTTCCCTTTTTAGTTTTTTGGTGATCTGGTTATGGAGGATGATACTTGATAGAGACACGGTGCGGTGGCAAATAAAGACCGCGTGGGGTTGAAAAAGATGGTAAAAAATTTGGAAGTTTCAGGTATTTTAAAAGAAAGGGATTGACATATGTCAAGAAAACTTTATAAAGGATAATTTTCTTCTTTTCCGCTTCAAAATTAAAGGAAAAAGTGTATTTTTTTAAAGGAAGGACCAATTAATATGACAGAAGTAAACCTTTCAGGGACATTATAAAATATTTGTATAAATGTAAGGGACTACTTAAAATTATAGCAAACCTCGAGGGAACAAAATAATTATTTTCTTCCAAAGATAATTTTCGTCTTTTCTTTTTCAAAATTAACGAAAAAAAGTGTATTTTTTTGACGGAAGGACTAATTAATAGACGGTGGTTCCAAACCTCAGGGACGTTTATAAATATATGTATAAATATCGAGGACTACTTAAATAATTATGTTAAAACCTTCAGGGATGAAATAATAATTTTCCCTTAAAATTATTATTTTAAATAAAGAAGGCCAAATGCAAGTGGGCTGCCTATTGTATATTTGAGATCTTTGGGCAAATTGAACCGCTAAAATTGGGTCTCTGTGATAGTTAATCAGCAATATTTAGCGGCCTAAATTCCCTCTTAAAAGAAATTTGCCTATTATTTTGGCAAAATCATTTCGCGGCCCACGTATTTCCTTTTCTTTCTTCGTTTCTTTCCTTTTTTTTTTTTTTTTTTTTTTTTTAAATTATTTTAGGAAGTAACTGACAGAATTGGCCGCCCTACGTTTTAAAACATTTCTTTTTTGTTCCACCACTGAAATAAATAAAAAAAAAAAAAAAAAAAAAATCTCCTGGCCTAAAAAATTAAAAAAGCTTCTATATTAAATCCATCACTAGCTTCAGTTTTTCTTCAACACTTAGTAGAAAGGGAAGAGAGGAAGATTACAATAGAGCAAAAGACAATGGCTGATAATTATGTCAATCCACCTGTAATTTATTAGGTTTACCCTGAGTTTATTTGTTTTTAAACTTTGGTTTTGTTGTATGTCGTGAAAAAGTGAAAATTTGCAGGTAAGAGTTTCATGGCCGGAGCTGCTTTGGCGGCGAATGGAAAACGCTGCTGACTTGCTCTCATAGAGAAACGAGAACAGTAACGTGAACGCCAATTGTATTGAAGGACGGTCTCCAGTGCCACTTTGACTTTTAGGTGCGACAGAGTC